AGCAGTGCTGGCACAGCCCCAGGGCCACTGGGATCAGGTTCCTGCTCAGTACTCCTGCTTTATCAGTGCTGCTGATCCCGAGGCAGTGGCAGCACCTCTGGAATGTCTCAGCTCACTCTCCTCCTTCTCTCTCTGCCCAGATTGCCAGGGAGCACGGTATTAGGTTTTTCGAAACTAGTGCAAAAGCAAATATAAACATTGAGAAGGCATTCCTCACGTTAGCAGAAGACATTCTTCGAAAGGTAGGTGCTCACAGCATTCCTTTGGAACAGCATCCCCAAATCTCACCTCCCCTTGCTTTTGATGTTCACCTGAGCCAGTTGCAGCGTCTGCCCTTGGTGTGCTGAGGCAAACGGGTCCCTGAAGGAGCAGTGTTGGCATTCTGAAGCCTGTTTGATGTTTGGCTGTTGTGGGGGTGGTACCTGCAGGGGATAATCCACATCAAAGAGCCCAGGAACTGAGATTCCTCCTTGTCTGGCCCTTAAACTCGTGGTGGTTGTGTCGTCCTTGTCCTTGCAGTTCAAACATTCCCCCTGGCGAGGTGAGAACTGTCCTTGCCCTGCCACCATCTCTGTCAGCTGTCAATGCACAGCATTGTCCCAGAACTGCTGAGGGCCTCTTGGGAAGGGTTCAGGTGTGGGGGGAGCAGAGGGGTGAGCTCTGTCACTCCCAGTGTTGTTCCCAGGGATCAGCTCCTGCCTTTCCCTGGAGGTTCTGTTGCTCCAGTTCACCTGGGGGTTGGTTTCCCTTCCTGGAGTGGGCAGTGTCCCACAGAACCATGGAATCTTTGAGGTTGGAAAAGCCTCCTGAGAGCACCGAGTCCAGCCATGCCCCAGCACTGCCAAGGCCACCACTGACCCACGTGGAAACTCTGTGGATTGGCCAACACTGGCATTTGTGCTCCTGCTCCTGCTCGAGTGAACCCCATCCCAAGCCTCATCCCTGTCTCCCTCCTCCCTCCCACGGGAATGCTGCTGGCAGTGTCACCCCCTTGTCACTGCAGCTCTCAGTCGTTTCCTAATCAGTTTTTGACAAGCTCTATGTGAGGGACTGGGGGAAAATCCCTGGCCTTTGGTAAACAGGAGGTTGGGCTACAAATCACACCGACCCTTTGGACCTTAAATCTTCATTTCTGGCCTCTGTAATTGTCTGAACATCTGGGGGGTTCTTTTGCAAGGCTGTGACAGAGAGTTAAAAAAGGAATAGAGAGACTGAAGTGTGTGTGGAGTTCAGTTGAGGTTCATTTCCAAGCAGCTGGAAGCAGATGTTGGTGTGGGATCAAACCCACTCGAGGGGTTTTTGCTCTGGTCCCGCTGGGTTCCGTCCTGTGATGTGGAGGAATCCGCGTGTCCTCTGCCTCGGGAGCTGCTGTCCTGAGGAGCAGGAAGCAGAGCTTGGAACAGCCCCTCTTTATCCATAAAACCTGTGGTTTTTGAAGGTCATTAGTTCACATAATTTGAGTTCAGCTCGTGTGGGTTGCAGGCTGGGATTTATTTACTCCGCCGAGTCCAGCGCCAGCTCCGAGCACAGGAACTAAAATAGTTCCAGTCGACTTTGGGGTGGTCCAAGTTCAAACACTGGGGGTTTTTTTCCCAGCTGTTTATTTAAAACAAACCCAACAACAACAAAAACCCACCCTTAGATTGGTTTTCCATGCCTGTGCTGCAGCGGGGGGAGGATCCCCTGCCTTTCTGTGGAGCTCTTTGTGCGCGGTTCCTTCCCCGCTGATGTCAGTCCCCTGTCAGTCCCCGCCGGCTCTCCAGCTCCCAGAATCTCCTGAGCCCTCTAACTGTTCTCACTTGTTTCCTTGCAGACCCCTGTAAAAGAGCCCAACAGTGAAAATGTAGATATCAGCAGTGGCGGTGGGGTGACGGGCTGGAAGAGCAAGTGCTGCTGAACCTTCTCCTCTCTCACCAATCGCCATCCACCGCCCCTTTTTTCTCGCTGCAAAACAAACCACTCTGCCCGTTTTTTAACCTTAAACCGATGTTTTGTTCCTCATCTTAACGAGCTCCTGCCTCTCCCCCCTGGTTTTCCGGCTAGGACAGCTTTGCCTACTCCAGTTTTCTCAACCACATGTATAGGAAATCCATCTCCGTGACTTCATCTTTCCATGTTCCTGCTCAACTCACCACCACGTTTGGGTTGTACGATGGCCCCGTCCCTCCTGCCATTAAACCCCAGAGCAATCATACTCAACTCTTCTGCAAATTGTATAAGAATAAAAGTTAGAATTAACAATTGATTTTGTACAACAGTGGAATTTTCTGTCATGGATCATGTGCTTGAGTCCCCATGTTCTCTAGACGCATCAGCAAGAGCCAGGAAAACACTCATTTTCGCCTTCAGTCCATGAGTGGGGTTTCTTTGTCCTGTGCCTTATGTGGAAAAAGGAACTTTTATTTTCACTTTCTTTTCTTTTTTTTTCTGGTGGAAGCATGTGCAGGAGACATCCCATCCCCCCGTGCCATTGAGTCCCGACCTCTGTAGTGATTGCTTTCTGTACCCGTTGGTGTCATGCATCGAGGACAAAGGGTGGTGCAAAACAAAAAGCAGAATCCCTGTAACCTGCTGTGTCTCCTCTTGGCGATCCCGCTGCTCCCAACTCTTCCCGCTGCCATTTTCTTTTCTCACTTTGCCGCTCTTTCCTTTTATTGGTTGTTTTATTTTTATTTTATTTTTATTTTTTTTTGGTTTTTTGGTTTTCCGTTGTTTTGTTTTGTTTTTTTTTTTTGCCTGCATGCTGCTTCAAGATTTGCATTTCTTCATGGTGTGATGTGTTAATGAAAAGGATGGCAACGCGGAGTGTTTGCCAAAAAAACTTTAATGCAAAGCACTGATTTAGCTCCGAGGTAACGATGTGGAGATCCCGACTAACTAACCCCTCTAGGCGTGTCCGTCATAGCGACCCCCTCCCGCACAGCCCCCCCCATGGAAGAGTTATTTGCATGCACTAGTTTCTCTGGAGGGTGATGTGGTTGTCTACTTTCTGTGTATGAATATAACATGCGACTCCCAGACTGACAGCAGTTAATTAATTAATTAATTGACACGAGCTCCGAGGGTCTCTCCCCGTCAGCCGCTCCGAGGGGTTCGGGAGCCGAGCGAAGGGCCGAGCGGAACCGGATCAGAAAGAGAAAGAAAGAGAGGAGAAAACCCAAACCAGCCGGTCGGCAGTTTCATTTATTACCTCCCTGCGAACGTTCCACTCCGCAGCGTTGGCGGCCGAGCGGGGCCAGCCCTGCCCTGGATCCCGACGCTCTGGGAGCTGATCCCGGCATGGACTGGCTGTTCCAGCTTGCCTTCCTGTGCTGCTGTCACCCGTGGCCAGGGGGGTTGTCACCCTGGCTGAAGGAGGGCTCAGTTCTGCCGGTCCCGATCCGTGTTCGATCCGTGTTCGATCCCACCTGGAGCCGGAGCTCTGGCCACGGACACGCCGAGGGTGGACACGCTGCTGCC